TTTGAGGTTTTTTTTTTTTTTTTTTTTTTTAAGATTCCACATACAAGTAATAAAGTAATACTATGCAGTATTTGTCTTTATCTGGCTTATTTCACTCAGTCTAATGCTACTCTTTAATATTGTACCACAGATTGGGTGCAGTAATTTATTTTAAATACAAGATAGCTTATTATATTGATTATATTTAGAACACACCATTTAAAAATTAATCCAGGGGAATTCCCTGGCGGTCCAGTGGTTAGGACTCCTCACTTCCACTGCAGGGGGCACGGGATCGATCCCTGGTTGGGGAACTAAGATCCCGCGTGCTACACAGAAAAAAAAAAAAAAAAAAAAATTACTCCACTGCACTTAAAAGCCAGTCTCCGTATTTTAGTAGTGATTGAAAAATTACATTATGAAATCTAATAGTAAAAAAACAATAAAGGAAAACTTCAGAATCTAGGAAGTTAAGCTTCTAGATAATAAGTGAAAGAACTTGAGTTTTTAAGAGTTTAAGAATAATTTCTAGGTAATCACCATGCTTCAAGTATATGTATAAGTTTTAAAAGGATAATAACCAGGTATTTCATGACTTCATACAGAAGGAAAAGGTGGTCATGGTGCAGTGTGGTAGACTGAAACTAATAAAAGGTAACTACTAAAAAAATTTCCATTAGGGTGGGCAGATCAAGACTAAATACAGAATACAATATTGAATCATTAGGGAATAAGCAGCTTAATCTTACCATGCCTAATTTAAAAAAAAGTGTGTCTTGATTAAAAAAACAAACAAACCCAACACCACAGAAATGAGTTAGACATATACAGTCTTCTAATATTCTTCTATGCACAAATATACTGACAAGTTTTAAAACAGAATTGGAATGCTGTATTGTTCGATAGCTGTTTAAGAAAGAAATTAATCAAGTTTGATTTTTTTAAATTGAAGTATAGTTGATTTACAATATTGTGCCAATCTCTGCTGTACAGCAAAGTGACTCAGTTTTATACATATATACATTCTTTGTTTAATATTCTTTTCCATTATGGTTTATCCCAGGACACTGCATATAGTTCCCTGTGCTATAGAGTAGGACCTTGCTGTTTATAATCAATTTTTATTATTACCAGACTGTCAGCATATGCTAGAAACAGAATTATTAAATGTCTATTAAATATAACTTTGTCAGCAAAATTCACCTTCAGATACAGTTTAACTCTCCTGGACATGATATGTCTGATTGAAATGGAACACTTCTGTAATCCTGATCACTTAGCTCCAAATTATTCTAAGATGTGGATATTCTAAATATATCAGAGTAATATCATCAACTTGTAAATATAATTCAGTAAAGAACGTGTAGTACCAAAGGCATAAACATAGTTATGTAGGAATATCAAGTAAATTAGAACATCATTTGACTGTAAACAACCAAAAGCTTTTAGAAGTTAAAAGAACTTGATTAGAAAATTAAATAATAGAGATTTTAAGAACTCCATCATGAATCTAAAATTTTCTATAGTTCTTATGAACATAATAGTTGCCTATTCAAAGCATAAATCAGTTCTATTTCAATAAATATTTCAACACCTATGTGCTAACACCTGGAATGCAAAGGAGTTTACATTCATGTATTCCCCAAACCACAGGCAGTTTGCTATAGTAAAACAAGGTATGCTTTGTGTACATGTGGAAGCCGGCGCTGGAGAGGAGGGCCTTGCACATCAAGATGGTACTTCATTGTCTTCTCTACATTCTCTCGGTGACCTCAATCTATATATAGTCCTATGGATTTAATGCTGCCAACTCCCAAATTTCTGTCTCTAGCCTAGAAATCACTCCTAAATGCCAAAGTATCTCTAGTAGACAGCTCAAATTAAACATATCCAAAACTAGCTACCTGATCTTCCCCACAAAATGTGCTTCACTTGAAGCTTTCCCTATCTAAGTTGGTGGCCTTTCCATTCTTGGCTGCAAGTTTACTCTCTCACCTCCTTTAGGTCTGTTCAAATGATATGTCAAGTCTTACTCTGACACACTCTTTTTTCCCCTTATAATATTCTTGATAGGTTTTCTTATCAATAAGGTTTGTTGGCCTCAAAGAAAGTTTGGAAGTGTTTCTTCTTGCTCTTCAGTAATGTCAATGCTTGCTTCTGTATCTTCAAGTTATGTTATTAACAGCATAAATATTTGGGACTGTTATGAGTTGATGAATTGATCCTTTTATCATTTTGAAATGTCCCTCT